TGCATTGTGGAAACTGAGGCGTGCAGCGCTAGTGCTGGCCACAGGCTCTGGGAGCCCAGAGACCTGGCCCATCTTGTGCCACTCTGAACCCGCTGGGTCCTCAGTAAATCCAAGGCGAGCAAAAGTAGCTTTTCAGTTGTTTGTATGGAAAAAGACACGCAGGTCATGATTATTACAAAAGCTTTATTAACTGTTTTGTGTACACACAACTATCGGCCTGCTTTTGTGCATCACTGTGTTTGTTGGATAGCGACATACCGATAATGCTGACCACCTCTGTACGGTCATCTCTTTTTTCTACAACCCTGCAATTGCTTTTTGAAGAGACTAAAGGGGAGCGTGAACCTCAGAGAGGCCCCTTAATTGCCTATGTTTTGAATTCATAGCATTTGAAAGGGGTTTATTCTCTGATCTAAATGGCAAGAACAAAGGCAGAGCAGTAAAGAGCTGAGGAGGATGAAAAAACACCGTATGGGAGATGGAGGTGCCCTTTGTTGTCCTCCACCCAAGTCAGCTTCAAAGTTCTCAGCTAAACAGATGCACATTGGTCACCATGGCAACAGCCTGGCTGCCCAGGCCCTCCGACCTTGGGCTGTCCATTGCCAGCCATGGCACACACCGGGCTTCCAGGGAGCTGGATGGGGGGACAACCCTCAGCCTGGCTCCCTTGCCATCCAGCAAGGACCATTCTTGGTTCTCTGTCAGGGGGAGAGAGGCCTGGACCACCAGGCCTGTTGGATGCCCCTTTGCCCAGCAAACACGCAGGAGCATCGGCTATGTGCCTGTGCGTCAGAAGGGCGCTCCTTCAGGGCTCTGCACCTCTGGTGCCTGGATCACAGTGCTCACTAAACAGTGGCTTGTGGATGAATGAGCAACAAGAGACACCTGGGAGCTTCTAAACTACACTTCCCAGGCCCCACCTGAAACCAGAGAAATCAGAATCTCTGGGAGGCACGCTCAAGGCTGGGGGAATTCGTAAAAGCAGCACACAAGCCTCTCAAGTCAGAGAAGGAGAGAGAAGAAAGCCCCGTCAAGGGAGCCCCCCGGGCAGCTGGCCTGAGCAACTGCAAGCCTGGGGCTGCTGCTCCCAGGATTGGGAGGAGCAAGGCCTGGGAACAGGATTAGAGCCCAGCCGTAGGCACATCAGTTAGAGGCGCTGGGGAAGCAGCCTTCAGTTTGGAGTTCTGGGGATGGTGTTAATATCAGGCAGAGCTGATGAGGCCAAAGGGAGGGAGCGGAGACAGGGAAGAAACGAAGGGCCACAGGTGGAAGCCCTGGAGAGGCGGGGGGGGGGGGGGGGGTTGGAGAGAGAGAAAGATAGAGAGACAATCAGGCCAAGTGCCGTTTTGGAAGCAAGAAAAGGTGGGATGCAGGCTGGGGAAGAAGGATATAGTCGTGCCATGAAACCCCAGGGCACTAAGTGGAGAGCTGAGGAAGAATGCTGCCCTCCGCCCCCACCCCACGTGTGCAGGGGTGTTATCTGCCCCACCTGGGTAATAACTGCCCTCATTCCCTGGGCCCGCGTGACTGAGACCGCCCCAGAACCCATGGGGGCGCATTGAGAGGGCCCTGCAAGCTGATCCTGAATGCGGTGCTCTCACCTCACCATCTACCCCCTCTCTCCCAACCGCAGGCAGGGGGGTGCCAGAGAGAGCCGAAACGCCATGTTTGACTCCTAGTCACAATAAGGGGGCAGCTAGAACTTTTTAAAGAGCTCCCAAAGAGGGGCATTCACTGGGCTACAGCACTTCCCGTGGATCATCCTGTTGGATCTTCACAACAGCGCTTTGAGGTAGGTACCATTTTTATGTTAATTTGACTGGGAAAGGGTCCTGCCAAGACTCCAGGCAGCCTGCCCCCACAGGCAGGGCCCTTGGCCACTGAGCCACGCGGCCCTTCCCGGTCAGCACCACTGAGAGGCCCAGGTCGGCTCCGCGCGCCCAGCAGCCCCAGGCCAGTGTCCCGGGGCCCAGGCCACTCCTGCTTCCCAAGCATGGCAACAGCAGCCTCTGTTTTCAGGACAAGGCAGGACACCCGAGATGGAGGTCGGCAGGACCACGGGGGCTGCCCGCGCCAATCCTCTGCTCTCTGCAGAGACCTCGAGCAGGCCTTCACTGGGCTGGGTCATTCAGCAGAGCAGGGACACAGCAGCGCCGGCACCAGCTACCCCAGCCCTCCCAGCAAGCGGGAGGCCGCCCCAGCCCCTCCCTGTGTGAGCCTGCCCGTCCCTGGCCCTCCCAGAAGGAAGTGGTTCTCAGCACAGTCACCTGGCAGCTTTAGAAAGAGCAAGCCACAGCCCCAATACTACAGCCATTCTTGGGGGGTCGCTCCCAGAGCCTCCAGCCCAGCAGATCTCAGGCAGGATGGGGCATTTGTACTTTGTAGAAGGTTCTAGGTGTCTTTCTTACAAGCCTCAGCCAGTCTACCCTGCCCTCCTCTCTCACCAGAGTGAGGCTGGTGGATCAGAGAAGGAAGCAACGCACGTGAAGGGGGACTAATGACCGGACATCAACTGTCTAGTGGCTGGGACTCAAGTGGTAACATTCCCAGACCTTAGCTTGGCACGACATGTAATTGGAAGGACAGGGGACAGCCATGGCGTGGACTGGAGTCCCAAGCGACCCTCGTGAAACTGCTGGAGGGGCATGGGTCTGAGGGGCTGCTTCCACCGGTGTCCGCGGCGGGGGACAGAAGCGCGAGGAGCCTCCTCCTCTGGGACCGCGGTGAGGACAGAAGCCGAGGTGTCCCCTCTTAGACGGCCGCTCCTGGAGGCCCCTTCCCGGCGGCTCCGGGTGGTTGCGGAGCCGCGGACACGCCGCCTGCCGGCCCGGGAGCGCGGCGCCCGCGCGGTCTGGCGGCGCCACCTGCTGGCCACTCGGGGAAGCGCGGTCCGCCGGCGCGAGGGCTGCCTCGTCCCCCGGCACCGTTTTAGGGTTGAGTCCGTAGTGGTTCCTCCATCAACTCCCCACCCCGCGAGCTTCGAGTCCCGAGACCCAGCGCTGGCTGGGCCCCGCTGCCCTTCCCTTGACAGCGACCGCTCTCGAAGCCCCCGTGGTCCCCGGGGATCGGGCCTCCCCGGACGACTCCCTTCATCCTCCACCTCCCCACCACCTCTTTGGCCCTCACCTTGAGTTGAATGCCCATAAACTTCCGTTTCTTCTGTTAAAAATAGTGGAGGAGGGGCTAACAATACCACATGCTGGGCTGGCACACAACTGGTCAGGACTACCCCCCAAAGCCTCCACCAAGAACTTTGGCCTTGGTCCCTAAGGTCCCAGAGGAGCTTGGGCTTGGGGCGGGGCGTTTCTGCGCCCAGTGACACAGGAATCCTTGAACCTCCTCAGGCATCCAGGCAAGGCCGGGAACGAATGAATTCACATTTCTGCACAGGAATGAGAAGTAAATGGGAGGCTGGAATATGGGGTGCATGGGAAAGAGGGGTGAAAACTGAGGGGCCGGAAGGCCTGCTGAGCCATGTCCTCCGAGCTGCAGAAGAATACCTACCCACTCGCAAATGACCGCCACCTTTAATTTGGTATACGTCCCTGATAACCTCCATGCGTGCACGTGAACAGGACATCCTACTGCCTCCACAAGGGACTGGCTGAGGGACTGGACACCACCCGTAACCACCGCCACCTTCTGAGCCTGGAAAACAGCACGCAAAGCACTCATTGTTCATCTAACTGAACTTTGAAAAGTTAGGTGCCTCCTTTATTTTCGAACTGGAATCCCCTGGAGTTTTTCATTGGTCCCCGCCACTTTTGTTCTGTATGCTGGAGCCAGAGTCATCATTGACCAACGGACTGATCAATGTTGCTAATCACTGGATGCAGGGTGATTTTCCCCCCCCAAATTCCCTCAGAGAAACTTTGATCCTCTCCCATCAGACATTTCTCATAACTGACCAGGGAAATAGCAAGACCAGTTCGTACTCTGACTTGTTACATCCTCTCCCAAGCTGGAGTCCCTGGCGTGACTCTGAGACCAGGATGAGTGTGCATGGGGGTTATTTAGGGGCGATCTCAAGGGGAGTGGAATAATGAGACAGGGCGATGAATCTAGGGCGCTCTCATGAGCACCTGAGGCTCCGTTCAGTTGGGGAGGTCGGGAGACCGTGTTGAACAGGACTCAAGAGTTATCCCACGGGAGAGGCAAGCAGCTGGGTGCCTCTCTCAGCGGCAGAGGGATGCGCCCCAGGGCCTGGGCTCCTTGGCACTCTAGCCTGCCTGGTGAAGGCCCACGCCCTCATGGCCAGAGAAAGTCCTCAGGTAAAGGGAGCTGGTCCCCAGGAAGCTGGCCTGTGGGCTTTGATCCCCAGGGTATCGGGGGGGAGATGGGCGCCTACAGCATCTGCCACACAGACCAGCCTGTTCACATGCCAACTCATTCAGCAGGTGCCCATGATGTGCCACCAACTGAGGACATTGGTCTGGCAATCAGGAAATCTCCCAGGCCCCTGTGAACACAGGTGACAATTGCACTTGTTGGTGTCAGTGTATTGTACACAGGCTGCAATTGGGCTTCTCTTGCCCACATTCATGCTTCCATGAAAGGAAAGAGGCCGCTCAGACTAGCTTTTTTTCATCCAGGGTACAGGGGAGCCACTCAGGAAGATTTTAATTTAGCGCTAGGTACAAACTGCAAGAACAAAGGTAATTTTCTTTTCGTGTTATAAGAAACTGGTCACTTCCATGAGGTGGTTTCGTAACATTAGATGACAGTTTTTAAAAACGAAGACAGGAGAATAAATTGGACTTTGGGGAATGGTGAGCTTTTGTCTAACATCCAGATACAAAGGGCACCAGCCGCTTTTCTGCGGAGCCCAGAGACTGCAATCAGCCCTCAGGCAGGGTCTGTCTCCAGGCCCCCAGGCCTCCAATGACAGGCTGCAGTGCCACCTTTTAACTACGGCTGCCCCAAAGGACAAGGACAGGACACCCGCTCAGCTGGCGTGCATCCCATGAGGCATGGTGGACCCTGCAAGTGTTCGCAGGGTCCTAAAGCTTCCCTTTCGTGAAGAACAGTATGAGGCTTTTGTAGAGGTGAATCAGCCTGTTTTGCACCAACTTGAAAGCAATGCACACAATCTCCATCCCAATGATGATATAGAGGGAGAAAAACAGGAAGAAGTGAGGGTGCTGTAAAGCGATGTCGCCGAACCCAATGGTGGTCAGCGTGACAAAGCAGAAGTAGAAGGCGTTCTCGAAGTCCAGATGCTTCTCCCAGGTCGGGAGGATGGCGGCCGCACACGAGATGTAGGCGAAGACAATGAGGGTGATGAGAGGCAGGGGCACGTCCAGCTTCTCCACCTGTCGGCCCACCTCGTCCAGGTTGCTGATGACAGAGAAGGAGAGTCTCCCCGACGCCAGCTCGGGACAGGAGCTACTCCTCTCCATGGGCCGCGGGGGCGGCTGCAGGGCCCTCTGTTTCTCTTGTGCAAGAAGCCTCTCGAGCAGCTCCATGTTGCCGCTTGAGACTGAGGGACGCCTGCTGGCCATGGGGCCCTGGGGCTCTGGGGTGTCGATGACGATCCTGGGGACAGTTTGTTCTACAGGCTTGGCGTCCGGCCTTCTCCTGCAACACAGTCGGGGGCACCATTTGCAAAGGGGAGGGCGGAGGAATGGGAGTTTTCGGAACCGATTATAAGATGTGGAGAAGATGGTCGCCAGGATGTCGCCGGTGTCTGTGAGGACCAAGACCATCAGAGGGATGCCGAAGAGCGCGTAGAGCATGCACAGGTATTTGCCGAGCCTGGTGACGGGGAAGATGTGGCTGTAGCCTGAAAAAGAGGACACAGGAGGGGATTGTCATGTGTGTTTCCCCCTCCCCAACATGCTTTAAAGAGAACTTCTGCCTTTTCCTTTCCTTGGCATAACATTTAACACAGTGCATTGGCAAATGTTCATCTCGAAGCGTTTATCCACACATCTAACATTAGCCCTGCGTTGGTGGGGGGAGCAGGGGGTGACACCCAGCTTCTCTTTAGGACACAGAGCAACTCATGTCCAGATGGTTGATCTGCAATGTCCTTGGCAGGGACAAGGGCATGTTTGGGAGTGAGCCACTGCCTTTCATTCTGCCATCGCCGTTTCTGAGTGTCTGAGTGAGGAGGAGCCAGCCTACCTAGAAGCGCAGGGCAAGCGTTGGGGACAGGGTGTGGGTGGCTTTGCAACCATGCCCACTGCCTCCCTCATCCTCCAGAAGCCACCTTTGTTTCCCCTGGGATGTCTGGGCCTCTTGGTTGGTTTGTTTCTATATAAAAAGCAACTATTACGTGCCAGTGGTGTTACAGCGATGTGCATAGTATTCAGGATGGTAGGAAGCTGGAAAGTGAATCAAATACAGTTGCTGCCCTCAGAGCCTCTTGTGGTTTAGTGGACCAGGCAAACATGCTCACAAACGACGGGGAAGTGGTTAGGATCCCAGCATCTAGAATCTTACCAACCTCAGTTCGAATCCCAGCTCTGCCATTTACTAGGAAGTTACTTGACTACTCACATCTTCAGGTTTCTTATCTTTTCACGGGAATGACAATGCCTACTCTGTCTATTGACTAGCAGGAAGGATTGCATGGGACCCATGCCTGACACATCGTGGGTGACCGATAAATGTTGGTGTCCTCGCCCTCAGGAGCAAATACTGGCTGCCTACAGAGGGAGCACTCCCTGTGGGCTGGTGCCAACCACCCCACATAGGTCGGCGTCGTAATCATCATTCACAGATGAGGAAACTGAGGTGCGGAGACACGAAGCAGCCTGGCCAAGAGTGGAGGTGGGAGCCAAACCCCCAGAGCTGCCAGCTCCCTAGCCAGGCTCAACATCCTGCTGGGTCAGGAGCACCAAGCGGGCGGACACCGCCAACCAGGGAGAACAGGTCACCCAAGCAAAGGGGTGGCGGGTTGAGGCCTCCCTGCTCTCCAGGAGCCCCTCCGTCTACCACCTTCGCCCCCGCTAACGTCTACAGCGGGCAGGAGCCGGAGCCATCAAGCCCCACAGTGCAGGCGGTGGGACCTTCTGAAGGGCCGAGCTCAGTGACTTCCACAGAGACAACGCTTTTGTATTTGATGCCTATGTTTAATTTTTGATGTCATAAAGGATGATGACTACAGAAAACCCCACCTAATTATGCAAATTAATTGGAAGGCCCCCAAGCCCCAGCCCCTCCCTGGCTGCAGCTCCTGTGGGGAACTCTGGCCTCAGGCTCCGCCCCCCGGAAAAGGGGCGGTGCTCAGGGGGCCGCCGCCCTGGGGTCCTGGGGATGGCAGTGACCCTCAGTAGGTCTCATCACTTTGCACCCATCCCAGGGCACTCCGTGCCTCCCTGGCTGGTTCCAGAGGTGCCCTGTGATGGCAGGGCAGCTAACTCTGCACGTGTGCTCCATGCTGTGTGTGTGTACTGCGTGCTGACTGCACGAACTCCCCAGCACAGCGGTGAGCAAAGTAAACATGGCACCCAAACCCACTGAGCTTCTGGTTTAGGGGGAGAGGCAGATACAAGTCAAATTCCACCGAGTGAGTATGGAATTACAGATGGTGACCATGGACAGGACATGAAAGAGCAGACTGCTGGGGGAGCAATTAGAACAAAGGCACCCAACCTGGATTCCGCATTTATTGAGCACCTACTGTATTCCAGGCTCTAGTGCTCAAGGTTGTGGGTACACAAGGAACAGGCTGAATTCACCCCCTCTGGGAGCGCCTACTTGCAAGGGGCAGTTGGCCTTGAGCTCAGCTCTCCTCCATGCCAGCGGGAGGTGGCGAGGACCCAATAGGTGTATGCACGGGGGTCAGGAGTAGGGACCACATTTGCTAAACCTCCCCTCAGGATCCCAGGTTCCTGCCATGCGGCAGCACTTGCTGAGAGAGTGCCGAGGATTTCCACTGCCCCTTTGCCTCTCTTCTGCTCCCTGAAGGCCTCCAGCAGCTCCTGCCTCCCCTCAGGGACAGAAGATTGCAGAAGTGGCTCAGGGCAGACTCTCATCCAGGCTTGTCTAGAAAACAGGGTGGCCGCCCTGATGGCTGCTATTGACATGGGAGCTTGCAAAAGGTATCCCGTGATGCTAACGTGCAGCTGGGGCCGAGAACACTGGCATCAGGTCATTGTCTCTCAGACGTTAGCGTGCATCCAAATCCCCTGGAGAGCTTGTTGAAACACATTGCTGGGCCCCACAGCCATAGTTGCTGACTCGGAAGGTCTAGGATGGGGCCTGAGAATGAGCTTGAATTTCTAACGTGGTCTTGGGGGATGCACATGCCGCTGGTCCAGGGGACACACCAGCTCTCGTGCACGCCTGGGAGAGTCAGGAGTCACTCTGCAGTAGAAATGCTCAGTCTCAAGTATGTGGAATCAGGTTCAGATTTTTGTTTTTAAGGAAAGAATGTCACATTTCTTATGATATATATAGAGTGAAGTGCCTTTTGGAGTCAAAATTCCTTGCATTGCAAACCCCCTGATGCTGGCAACTGCCATTACCACATTTAATGGACAAGGAAGAGGGAAGCCAGGCCTAGGGTCCCACAGGCCACAGCCAACGAGGGCACGCACCCCTCCCCAAAGACCGCCCCCCCCCACACACACACGCCCAACCCAGTGCTGCCCTCAGCAAAGGTGGGCTTAGCAAATTATAAATGCAGTCTCTGTGGCTGCCTTTGAGTGGGATATGTCTACAATCCAGAACATATGCCATGTTGCAGAAAACGCATTAAAGGAAGCAAGTCTCAGAGAGCACCCAGCCCCAACGAAGGGACTGTATGAACCATCCCAATTACTGAATGCTGAAATGCCTAATGGAAAATCATACCATCTCTTATAATGCATCTGTATATTCCACTACGATCAGTCCACCCCACTTAGACTGTGAGTATTTAATAGCCCATGCACTTAACTTCCTAATCCAAGGGGGCTGACCCATTTGGAAATGACCGGGGACTGACTGACCTCACACCTGTCAGGTGTTCTTTCCCAGCATCCAGCCCAGGTGCATTTCAAGTGACCCAGAGGTAGAGGGCAGGAAGCAGTAATACCAGCAGGACCTTCAAACGCCATTATTGATTACGGGCTGTGCAGCACTTCACCCAGCACCCTCTTCCAGCTGTAATTACTGGGCAGCCTGACATCCTAATGGAGTTGGACCGTGGGCAGCAGCATCGCTTTCTTGGGATTTAAACCAGACTAAAGCATTTATGTTAGATCAGCAGTTCGCAGTCTGGACCCCCATTAGCATCACCTGGAGGGCTCTGCAAAAGGCTGGTGCCTGGGCCGCCCCTGGAGATTGTGGCTGGAGTGGCGCAGGTAGGGCCCAGACACGAGAACTTGGAAAAGGTATCCCGTGATTCTAACGTGTAGCTGGGGCCGAGAACACTAGCATCAGGTCATTGCTTCTCGCACGTTAGCGTGCATCTGAATCCCCTAGAGAGCTTGTTAAAACACACGCTGCTGGGCCCCACAGCCAGAGTTTCTGACTCAGAAGGTCTAGCATGGGGCCTGAGAGTGAGCTTGAATTTCTAACACACCCTTGGGTGACGCACATGCCGCGGGTCCAGGGGACACACTTTGATAATCATTGCACCAGTTCAGAGGGTCTCCGCAGGGGCCCATTTTGCCCCCCAAACACATGTGTCAATGCCAGGAGACATTTTTGGCTGTTGCAGCTGGTGGGTACAGAGGGGAGAAAGTGAGTGCCTCCGGCGGATACGAGCCAGGGATGCAGCCTGACATCCTACAATGCGCAGGACGGCCCCCCACAGCAAAGAATCAGCTCACCCACCATGCCAACAGTGCCGAGGCTTAGGAACGCTGCGTTAGGTCAAGCACCTGATGTTCTCAAGAAAAAGCAGACTAGACCCCCTACTCTCTGCCCCCTTGCTCATCTCTGGTGTCTTCCTTGTAGGTGCTGCTCCCCGTAACTATTCTTCCCTCAAAGTGTCCCCTGGAGCTGGAGTTTCCCTGGAAAGGCCAGCTAAGCCCCGCCTCTGCCCCACGGGCAATGGCAGCTCACTGCTGAATGGGACAGGAACAGTGTCTAGTTCATAGGGCCGTGAGAAATAAATGAGAGGGTGCACATAAAGCACGCTGGCGCCATTCCTGGCCCTGGTGAGCGCTGAGCAGGGCGGCTATTACTGTTCCTCTCTCGGCCTGTGGCCTGACAGGAGCAGCATGCAGGCGAATGAAGCCAGTTCTGAAAGAAACACGTGGGGGTGCCGGCGGCCCTGAAACCCAGCTCTCCACCCTGCCCCTCCCTGGGCACCCTAGTGCTGAGTGTCTCCCAGGGAGGCGCCCCTGGAAGGCCTCGGCCCCATGCCCGGAGCCACCCCCTCCCGCCCCTGGTCCAGCGTCCTCACCACCGTCCCCCAAGACCACGGATCCCACCCACCCAAGCTAGGGACCTTGACAACCTCCTCCTCCTCACGCACTGCAGACCTCCCTTCAAGTCCTCCTCCAATCCACCCCTTTTTCCATCCTCAGGACCGCTGTCCGGGATCAGGCCATTGTCGTCCTGTGCGGCAGAAACCCCCGCCCGGTCTCCCTGCTGCTCACCTTACCCTCTCTGGTCCACCTCCGTGCTGCGGCCGCGGTGATCTTTCTAGAATGCTGAGCTACCGTGTCCGTACCTTGCTTAAAGCCCTCTGGGCAGCACCCCCACGGCCCTCAGGATGAACCTGACCCCCTTCGCCCCCCCGGGAGGGCCTTCCCCTGGCCAGAGCCTCCTCCCTCTGTCCGCTCTCTTCATGCCCAACTCGCCTCCTTACAGTGCCTCACGCTCCTTGTGCCTCTGGGCCTTTGCCCACGTGGTTCTCTTGGCCTGGAGTGCCCTCTTCATGCCCCACCGCCCCCTGCCCTGGTGACAACCCCTCCCCCCGCGACTGCCCCCCGTGGCTGTCACCCTCCCCGGGGAGCCCTTAACACGTGCTCACCACTGAAGTCCCGCCTCCCGGGCCTTCCCCAAGCCTGGGGCGGGCGCCCCCACTGTTCCCACAGAACCCTGAGCACATTGCATGCTGACCAAGCGTGGCTGTCCCGAGTCCCGTCTCGCCCAGGAGCCCGGGCTGGCAGGTGCTGTTAGCCAATAGGGTTTTGTACAAGAGCACTCAGCCAAGGGGCAAGAAGGAGCTGAATGCCAGCCCACACTCGTTCTCTGAGGTCTGCACCCAGGCATGGGCTGCACCCGCCTGACGGAAGGGTGGCCTTTTTTAACTTCTACAAGTTAAAAGGCACCTTACGGGTCAGTGGCAGGGACTGAACGCTGTGTCCCTGAACTGGGAACGGTGCCCACCCCTGCACAGTAGGTGTGGCACAGGGCAGGCCCCCCACACTAAATGAACTGAACACCCCAGCATCCTCACCAGGGGTCCCCAGCAGGCCCTCCCCGACCCCCTCTCCCAGGTCTTTCTGCCAGGCCCAGCTGGCCCTTGAACTTACCCACGGTGCTGATCACTGTGCAACAGAAAAAGAGCGAGCTCAGGAAGGACCAGTCTGCAGACCTGCTAAACCACTGGCGCTTCACCTTGGGCAGCAGCTCCCCGAGATCCAGTTTCCTGTCTTCCATAACTCAAGAAAGAGATGACCAAGCATGAGGGAGAGGGCTCTGCTTTTCAGGAAATGTCCCACCCAGGTGAAGGGGGGTCTCCCCCATGGACGAGCAGGCCCCCCGTCTTGTGGCCCCTTCAACACCGAAACTTGGCTCTTGGAGCCCTGCTGTTAAATGTCTCTGCAGTTGGGTCCTGCTTTAGCACCTTCATGCAGGAGCCAAGGGAGAAGCCCCAGGAGTCTAGCCCCACCCAGCTATGGGATCGCTGGGCAGCCTTAGAGGGCTCTCTGGGCTTTCTGAGCCTGCGTTTCCTCCATCCGGCAAAGGGGCATATAGACTTCTGCTCTGTCTCTCCCACAGGGTTCTTGTAAACTGAAAGAAAAAGGCTTGTATGAAATGCACACTCTTATACGGCTGCAACCTGCATGTCCTCCTGGAGGCGGTTAGGCCTGGTGGAGTTTGGTGATTATACTGGGGTCTGTGGGAACCAGCTACCTAAGGATGCCTGGGATGTGTGGCAGAAGCAGATTTGGAAGCCCTGGTTTCTCAGGGAGGTTTTCAGATGGTTCTTCCCCCCTTTTTTTTGTTCTTTAACTTATTTTTAGAGAGAGGGGAAGGGAAGGAGAGAGAGAGGGAAAGAAACATCAATGTGTGGTTGCCTCTTGTGTGCCCCCTGCTAGGGACCTGGCCTGCAAAACAGGCATGTGCTCAGACTGGGAATGGAACCTGCAACCTTTTGGTTCTCAGGCCAGCGCTCAATCCACTGAGCCACACCAGCCAGGACTCAGGTGGTTCTTTTGGTCTGGAAACCAGTGGGTTTGGAGATCCTAGAAGCCACTCGCCAGACTCTGGCATAGTGGTGAGAGGATGTCATAGAGCTTGGCACACAGCAGGAAGTCACAGCAGCCTGGGAATCTAGACCCAGCTCTGACCCTGACTCGTTCCTTTAGCCGCGGACAGCAAGCCTGTTTCTCAGCCTCAGTTTCCCCGTTAGGGAGGCAGTATGACATGGCGGTGATAAGCTCTGGCTCTGGAGTCCAAATGCCTGGGGCTGAATCCCTGGATGCACCTTCCGGTGTGTGACCTTGGGCAAGCTGCTTAACTCCCAGGACCTCAGTTGCTTAATCTGTACGAGGGGGACAGTTCACACCCTCCTCGTAGGGCTGCTGTAAGGGTTCAGCATGCTAATGAGTAGAGAGCACTTGGCTCGGGCTCTGTTCTTTGCTAGTACTCATCGAACATTTCAACCTCCATTGAAAATCTGGACAAAGTGGGTTCAGACCAGCTCTGGGTTCCCGTACCATCTGTGCATCAGAAGCACCTGGGAAACTTTTTAAAAATTAGATTCCAAGCCAGCCCCAGAGATCATGATTCAGAAGGTTTGGGGGAAAGCCTGGTGATATGTACTTTAGACAAGCTCCCTGGATGACTCAGATGCGTGGCCAGGTTCGGAAAGCCCTGAACTTGCTGACAGTCTAGACCCAGTGGTGCCTCGGAGTATCCAAGCAGCAGCGACGGCAGAGGTCACCTCCCAGGTTGGCTGAGCAGGCATGTGCCTGTCTGGTACAGATGGAGGAGTAGGGAAGCCCTGCCACGAAGGGGAGACTCTGCCTCCTGTGCCCGGCGCCTAGTCAGCCCCAGCTGAAAGGACCTGCCTCTAGCAGAAATAAGTGGCTAAGTACAAATGCCATCCAACAGGGACATACATAAAGTGCCTTGGCCTTCCAAGAAGCTTCCTGTTTATTATCTCATCTGCTTCCCACAGGGTCTGGTGATCACGCCCCCCCTGCTGTCTAGCACACCAGACCCAGAGAGGGCAACGGCTCTTCCTGGGACCATACAGCCAGGGGAGCGACGAAGACGCGAACTGACAATCCCTCCACCACCCCGAAGTCCAACAACAGAAAATGCTGTTTGAGACAGAAAGTAGGGGAGGAGGGGGGTGGGCCGCTATCTTGAGGGGGCAGGTCCAAGCCCTATTTGGATTGTCCCTTGAATTCTAATCCCTGCACACTGAATCATGGGGTCACGCAGGCATAGCTCTGAGAAGCAGCCTAGGAACTCTTAGCCCCAGATTCCGTCACCGTCCCCCAACCCCCGCCCGCCTGCTGGTCTGTGTGGGGCTGGGAGCTGAGGCAAAGGGGGGGAGCTGGCCTCTCCACAGCAGCTCCTGGGTGCTCGGTGCTTTTTTCCCATTCTGCACAGCCACCCTAATCGGCCTTTATTCTCCTTATTCACAGAGGAGCAAACTGAGGCTCAGAGAGGAGAAGGCCCTGGCCTAAGGTGGCCTAGGAATGCAGATGCTCCATGTGCAGGGTCCCAGACCCAGCTTCCTGCAAGAGAGCCCTCGGCTCCCTGGGGTCGGCCTGCACCCACGGAGAAAAGGCCCGCCCTGCCCAGATGGGCCACCTACCAGTTTTGTTGCACTGCAAGAGGAAGCAGAGCTTCTCCAAGAAATCCTCGAGCTCCCTGTCACCAGTCCCCAGGTCCTGGCCACCCTCAATGGCTGAGAAGAGCAGGGCACCCACCAGCGCGTAGGCCACCAGGGAGCAGAGAAAGCAGAGGCGAGGGAAGAGTTTCTCCAGGGCCCCTTGGTAGCACCTCCTGGCCTGGAGCGGCCCTGCAGCCTCCATCCTCCCAGGAGCTCGCAGGACAGAAGTACTGGTGGAAGAGGCAGGAGCACCCACGCCCCACCAAGAGGAGGAGAGCGGGGAGGTGGGGAGGGCCCTGGGATAGGCCAGGCCCTGAGCTAAGTGGATGGTGCACGCGTTTCCCCCAAGGACTCAGGAAGCAGCCAGCACTCATGTTCAGTTCATTTGAGTTACTCAGGTGGTGCCCCACCCCCAGCGCCCCAAATTACTATTGATCCACCAAGCAGACATGCGCGCAGCAGCGTGTCCAGCCCGGGAGCTGCCTGCCAGGCAGGGGCTCTAGGAAGAGGGTCTGGTGGTTGCTTTGTGCTCTTCTGGCCTTTGCCATCCCGAAGCTGCAGTTTTGACTTCCAGGTACTGAATCTGACTTTTGGTTTTTAGTCAAGTGATTGACCTTCCTGAGAGTTGTCTGTGGTACCTGGTCTCTTGGACAGGTATTAATAACAGTAACCAGTGTGGCCAGAGTTTATTAAGGGCCTTTATTCTTTGTGGACCTAATTATGGGTCCCAATTCTTTACTCCCCTGCAGCATATCCACCCTCGTCTTGGCCTCATTGTGGGCAGAGTGGACTTCCTTGCCCCTTAAGGCTGTGCTAGCTCACGTGACTCGCTCCAGCCCATCGGGATGGTAGCCGGCCTAACGTAAGCATGGGGCTTGAAATGTGCTTGTGCTGTTGTACTTGCTCCCCTGTGCCCTGTCAGCCACAAGCCAAACATGCCCCACATGGCAGATGTGAAGATGTGCGTGCCTTCAGCCATAAAGTCCTTCAGGAAAGGACTTTATGTGCAGCTTTGAGGAGCGTGGTTCGTGACAGCCTCCAGCTATTCATTCTTTCTGCATTTGCCTCAGCTCCAAGCCCTCCTCTGGGGAATGTCTGGACAAGTGACTGGGCAAGTTGAGGGCACCGCTCTGGTACAGGATGTTGATAGTAGGGGGGTTGTGCATGGTTGGGGCAGGGAGTATATGGGAACTCTCTGTAGTTTCTGGTCAATTTTTCTGTGAACCAGAAACTGCTCTGAAAAATAGTCTATTTCTTAAAAAAAAAAAAAAAGAAAAGAAAGAAAGAAAAAAACTTACTGGATGGGTTTAACCAAAGACTGGACACACCAGAAGATAGAATTAATAAGCTCAAATACAGACAATAGTCCAGTCAAGATGAAAAAAATATAAATGTTATTTACCCTCTCACCAGGAAAAAAAAAAAAGACATTTTATGAAATAATGTTAAAAAAAAGAAACTGGACATCAGGCGACAAAGGATAGTGATCTACAGGAGAAGGGAAACCAAAGGGCTGAACCCTGGGGTTGCCCCAGCTCATTGCCTTCGGAGATTTCCAGGCGGCGGCGCAGGGACGAGGGGTCACGGTGGAGCTGTGCGGGTTCTCCGAATTGAGCAGAATGAGCTGAGAGTCTGGGAGACCAAATGCAGTTAGAATTATCAGGACGGACGACACATGAAGGAAGAGAGCTTTACAGAGCAAGAACCCTGAAGACCCGCAAAGGGTGCTCTCCACCCCAAAAGTGTTCAGCAAAGGACTGATCGAGGTATGCCTGTGAGGAAACTAGCAAAGGCCAGGAAAAGAGCTGTCCGAAAGCACAACGGAGAATAATGCCTGGTGTTCACATAGGGCTGGGAATAGTGCCTCTTCTCACCGGTCAAACTCAAAAAACTCATTTTTAAAAAACCTAGAAACTCATAACTTCTAGGGCACTGGTAGAGTACTCAGAAAGGTCTTACCTTAATAGAGAGAAGCAAGATGTTCCCAAGCACTGCTCTGAGTCGCTTAACAGCAGAGAGCAACGGCCTGACAGGGTCAAACTGTGTCCAAGTAACTTAAGTGCATCCCAGAACAAAGCTCAAGATTTATAGGAATTTAAATGTATCCAGTTCCCAAAAAGGTAACAGTCACAATCCAAGATTACCAGGAATACAAAAAAAAGCAGAAAATCATGATCCATAAGAGGAAAAGAATCAATCGATCTAATCCAGCCCAGAATAAACATAGATTTAGAATCCATAGAAAAGCACATGACAACAGTCGTTATTATTGTATTTTGTATATGAAAAAGTTGAGATATGGGAAACATTTTGAAAGACCCAAATAAAACTTCTAGAGATGGAAGCTACGCTATCTGAGATGAAAAGTACAATAAATGGGATTAACAGAAAGATAGTATAGAAGAAAATATTAGTGAACTTGAAGACATAGTAATAGAAACTATCTATAAAATGAAGCAGGAGAGAAAAAGAAGTGGAGTCCCTAAAAGGAGGAGGAGACAAAAAATATTTAAAGAAACAATAAATACTTTCTAATCTTGATGGAGTTATAAACCCACAGATCCAAGAAGATCAATGAACTCCAAATACAAAAAAGAACACTAAGAAAACTATGCTAAGGTACCTCATAAATCAGTTTGTTCAAAGCCAGTGATAAAAGGAAAATCTCAAAAGCAGCCAGAAAAAAAAGACATGTTAGATGTATTGTTGCTGTAACAAACTACATACTTAAAGGTCCAAAAGTCCAAATGAGTCTCTCTGGGTTGAATTAAAGGTGTAGGTAGGGCTGCGCTCCTTTCTGGAGGTTCAAGGGAAAGGATCCATTGCCTTGCCCTTTCCAGCTTCTAGAGGCCCCCATGTTCCTGTGAGTATACACACTTCCTCCAACTTTAAAGTATCTTTCTGTGCCTTTCTTCCATAGTAATGGATTCCTTTGACTGCCCCCCTTCTTTATTCCTCCTCCTTCCACATTTAAGGACATTTACAATTATATTGGGCCCACCCCGATGATCCAGGATAATCTCAAATTGCCAAACTTAATTCCTTCTGCAACCTTCATTCTCCTTTGTCTAAGAACATGTGTTCTAAGATACACACAGGTTCTAGGAATTGGGATGCCAATATTTTTGAGGGGCCATTATTCTGCCTATCACTTTAGGTGCAGAGGAACTAAAATAAGAATGATGGCAAATTTCTCATCAGAAACAATGCAAGTGAAAGGACAATGGAATAGCATCTTTAAAGCACTGAAAGAAAAAAATATCAACCTCAAATTCAATATCCAGCAAAAACATCTTTCAAAAACAAAATTGAAATAAAGTCTTTTCAGACACATAAAAGCTGAAAGAGTTAATCACCACTAAATCTGCATTACAGGAATGTTAGCCCTGGCTGGATGGGTCAGTTGGTTGGAGCATTGTCCTGTAAACCAAAAGGTTGAGGGTTTGACCCCCTACCAGGGAGCAAACAGGAGACAACTGATTGATACTGATGTTTCTCTCTCACATCAATGTTTCTCTCCCTCTCAATCAAATCAATAAACATATTCTTGGGTGAGGATTTAAAAATAAGACATGTTAAAGGAAGTCCTTCAGAAAAAGGGAAGGTTGTACTAGATGGTAATCTGGATCTAAAGAAAGGCATGAAATGGGCTAGAAATGGTAACTATGTGGGTAAATATGCTACTCTTGTTCTCATTTAAATGTCTTTAAAAGTACTGTATTTTGCCATGTACAATGGACTACTTTTGTCCAAATTTTTGAGGAAAAAATAAAGATGCACATTATACATGGGTGGTACCAGGTACATAAAATTTCTTATACCTTGTGTCTGTTCTTGTGTTTTGTAATTATTTGTTACATAAAAGTTCTTATACCACAATATGTTCAAAATAAATGCTAAAATTCTTTTATAATACAAAAAACCAGTATCTAAATATAAGTAAATACATAATTAAATTAAATATTAAGATGAAAGATTTTTTTTTCCTGAAAGTTTGGGCCAAAAACATGGGGTGTGCATTATACATGGCAAAATACAGTAATTGATGGTTTGAACAAAATAATAACATTGTATATTATGGCGATTTATAACATCTAAATGGCTGACATTTATAACTCCTAACTGTATGACAAAAGTAAAATGTGGGACAAAAATAGCATAAAGGCCAAAAGTGGGGGGAATGGGGATATACTGTTTTGATGTTCTTATACCGCCTGTGAAGTTATATAATATCACTTGAAGGTACATTGTAATAAATTAAAGATGTAGATTCTGAACCTTGAGTCAGCCACTACAATAGTGAAAGAGTTATATCTAATAAGCCAACTAAATGATAAAAAAATAAAATAGTCAATTAATTTAAATAAAGCATAGAAAGAGGAAAGAGAGAACAAAGAACAGATGAGGCAAATCAAGAACAAGATGATAGACTTAAACCTAACCATAACAATGACCACATTAAATATATATGGTTTAAACATGCCAGTTAAATGGCATAGATTGTCAGAAGGGAGAAAAAAAGCAAGGCCCAACTAAATACTGTTAACTAGAAACACACTTTAAACATAAATACACCAATAGGTTAGAAGAATGGAGACATAGACAATGTTAACATAGGTCAAAAGAATGACTATATTAATATCAAATAAAGTAGATTTCAGAGCAAAGGATATTATGTAGATAGTGAAGTTCATTTCATAATTGAACTGGGTCAATTAAACACTAAGACATAACAGTGTTCAATGGATTTCCTCCTAAGAACAGAGCTTCAACATATAGGAGATAAAAACTGGTAAAATGGCAGGGAAGGTACTGAGAGTCACTTACCCATGGATAAGTGGGAGAACAGAAGCCTTGGGGAGGAGTAAACGTGAGGTCTGAGAAAGTCCAGGTGGAAGGAGACCTATGCTAACTAGCGATGACAGAGATAGAAATAGACAGATTTAAGATTCTCTATTTCATTGACTCCAAGATTCACATTTTGTTCACATGTACACTTCTGAAAAATCAAGATGTAGTCTTCAATCAGGAACATGTTTTAATTAATGCTGTCAACCATGAAACAAATGTGAGTTGGTTGCTGGGTAAAAAAATATTTCATTGACACTTTCTGTCAAGATAAAGTACCAGCGGCAACACATTTTAGATTGGATAAAATGTGGATGTATCTGCAGGCAGAGCTGACAGGAATTAATGATGGAT